GTGGCCATGGCCTCGGGAAAAGCGGCAAGTTCCGCTGCGACAGCTTCGACCTTGGCGGAGTCGTCGCCGTCGAACAGCTCGGAGATGTCCACGTTGGAGGACTCGAGCTCGGCGCTGAAAACCTCGAGTTCCTGGCGAACGATGTCCTGGACGTCGGCCTCGTCCTCGCCGTCCTCCTCTGGCTCTTCGTCGTTCTCGTCGTCCGGCTCGCCGACGACGTTGGTAGAGCGCCCCCCGCGGCTGGAGGAAACGTTGCTGCGCCAGCCGCCTAGTGAGCGCGACTGATTGTTCCATGACCTCGGCGGGGGCGCGCGGCGCTCCGACGCATGGATGTCCGGGAACATCCTGGCCAGCAGCCCGCGGATACGTTGGTAGCCGTGGTGCTCGTCGGGCAAGTTGCCCCCGACGCGCTCGCGGCGTTCTGCCGCGGGCCCGGCCTTGCGCGGCAGGAGCCATCCCGCCACGTCGTCCAGCGCGTTGAGGACCACCTCGTTCTCGCGTAGCTGCTGCAGCCCTGTCTCGAAACGGATGAGCCAATCCGTCATGCGTTTACCCTTGCGTCGGCGATGTTGAGTCGACTCGAAAAACTCCTCGAGGGTCTCGCCCTTCTGCGCGGGCTTTTGTTGACCCAGGCTCGCCTCCAGGTGCTGTAGCACACTCCCAATGCCGACCTGGATCCTGTTGCGCTTCTTGTCATCAGGGTCTTCGATGTCCGCCGCGGCTGTAGGATGCTGCTGCGCCTCCGCCATGTTGAGCGCTGCGCCCCCGGCAGTCCCGCTGAGCTTCAGCACGAGCTTCGACGCGAGGCTGTGCGCCACAGCGAGGTTCTCACTCAGCTTCCAGAGCTTGACTCCCTGCTTGTAGTCCCCCCACTTTGATGGGTCGCCATTCCAGGTAGGAATGGCGCTGTACGCGTAGTTGTCTGTCATCTTGTCGATGATGAAGTTGCAGGCCGCGTCGCTGACACTGGCGTTGAAGGAGAAGTAGCTGACGTCGCTGACACCGTTGTAGGAGAAGTAGCTAGCGTCGCTGACACTGGCGTTGAAAGCGTAGTCGCTAGCGTCGCTGACATTGGCGTAGGATATGTAGGCGTTGAAAGCGTGGATGCTGGCGTCGCCGACGCTGGCGTTGGAGAAGTCAGGGGAGGCGTAGTAGCTGGCGTCGCTGACGCTGGCGTTGGAGAAGTACGCGTTGGAGTTGTAGTCGCTGGCGTCGCTGACGCTGGCGTTGGAGAAGAAGGCGTTGGAGTTGTAGTTGCTAGCGTCGCTGACGCTGGCGTTGGAGGCGTAGGTGCTGGCGTCGCTGACGCTGCTGTTGGAGGCGTAGGTGCTGGCGTCGCTGACGCTGGCGTTGGAGCGTAAGTGCTGGCGTCGCCGACGCTGGCGGAGTAGAGCGCTATGCTCAGGCCTATGAGGGCTCGCAGGACGCCGCTGGGCGTCGATTCCGTGGTGGCGCACGACGGCGTCGTCGCGGCTAGCAATGTGGAGGCGCGCAGCGCCGGCAGCTGAGACCCGCTCCAAGCTACCACTGTGCTATGGAAAGATCACGGATCTATCGTTTTGGAAATGCTCGCAGAGCGGATCGTAGCTCAATCGGCCAAGGGCCCTGGACAATAATTAGAACCAAATGAGCGGCGGCAAAGAGCAGGCGAGGAGAGTTGCGAGCCTTCTGGAATCACAGGAGCGATCTGTCCTGACTTGGCCCCAGCTGGGGCAGGAATTCGGCGGCTTCGTCTCGCCACGCCCGCGCGCAGCGCGACGCGAACCGAGACCGAAACGATCTCCCGGCTGGGGGGCTCCATTTCAATTTGTCGCACCTCCCCCATCCGTAGCAATTCTGGCTCAAGCCATTCTGGCTCAAGGCAACATGTCGGGCAACCCCCGTCTCGAGGGTCGAGGCGGACCATGCGCGCTGGCGCAGTCCTGGACAGGCCCCAGGACAGGGGCTGCCGCATTTCCTTCTGCGTGCATACCCACTCGCAGACACCTCGCATGATGCCGTGCATTGTAAGTGCTCTGCTGCTCCCCCTTTCTTCATCGGCGCGATAGGTCGCAAGTCTCAGGTGCGCAAGCCTTTTGACAAGTCCGTTGGGAGAGATGACCGTCGATCTCGCGCCGACCGTCGGGCAGATCATGAGCGTGATGGGCCATCCTCGTCGCGAGGCCCCCCTCGTCGCATTCCTCTTAAGCAGCGCCAGCACAGCCGCAGCCGTTCGGGCGGCTCGACTAACTTTACCCATGGGAGCTTTTTCAATGATGCGAAGATGGGCACTCCCATCTACAACGTGGAGTCTCTCTCCCAGCTGGACGCCGATCAGCCCGTCGACATGGGTACCATAAAAGACGCATGCAAGGCATCTGTTGACCGCTGCGTTGCGCTGGCGGACCAGATGACGATCCTCAGCCGCGAGTGCCACTCTCGCCATCAGGAGCTACAATCATCGGTGTCAGCCTCGTTGAACGTGCTTGACTACAGGACGGGCGTGTCGGAGGCCGCGGGTGGCGACGCCCCTGTGAACGCTGCTGCCCCCGCCCTCCAGGCCAAGGTCGTCTCAATCGAGAGCACTCTTTATGGGCTTCTGGATCGTCAGAAAGTTGCTGAACAACAAATTGCCTTTAGTCTTTCGGCTCCAACGCCGCCTTCCTCTCCGAGGGGCGCTCGCCACGCCGAGCCACATATAAACGTTCAGAACGCCCAGGACCAGACGCGCAAACTTGTGCTGCTCGGTTTCCCTTGGCGCATGCTTGCGATCGACCTAAGATCAATTGGGATAGTTTGCCTGGCCACGTCCGCACCCGCGGCGGAAGCTGCCAATATCATCGCCGGAGGGTTCGACATGACCAAGCCCTGAGGTTCGATACCGGTAAAAATAGCAGTTGCAGAACATATCTGCAAAAAATACCGGTTGTGACTCATATATGCAAAAAAATAGCAGTTATGCGCATTTTTATATCATGTTGAGCATATCTGTAAATTCATAAGAGTCCTAAGTCCTATCTGCAAAACATAGCAGTTATAACCCATATCTGCAACAAAAAAAAAACAAAACAAAAAACAGTTATGGCAAATATCTGTAAAACATAGCAGTTAACAGTCAGATCTGCAAAAATAGCAGTTATGACAAATATATTTTCTTAAAATAGCAGTTATGAGTCATATCTGCATCATGAGCCGTCTCTGGGCCATCTTGAGCCGTCTTGAAGCAGTCTAGTGGGCCGCAGGTGAAACGACCCTTAAGCCTGCCCATCGAATCCGATGAGTTTCCGATGCACTACCAATGAGTTGCCGATGGTTTCCGATGAGTTTGCACTGCGTACGTATCAAATAATGCCCGATCACGTGGTACGTGTTGAACACTGCCACGAGGCCGTCGGGCACACCGCTGCCCGTAGGCGGCGCGGGTTAAGACAATTAGGGACGCGGCTCGTTAAATATACGGGCGCCGCGCTTAACATGAAAAAGTAAGTGAAACAGTGAGCGGGGCGAGAGCGTCATTTTGAAAGCACCCGCCCTCCATCCGTGTAGTTGTTCACTGCCCCAGATGCCCCGAACCCTACTGAGGAGGAGGACGGGCGAGGAGGAAATGGCGGAGGAGGAGGAGGAGGACGGGGGCGGACGGCGCGGAGGCGCCTCGCGCGATCAAGGTTGAACGCGCTACGGGGGCCCATCTCGGGCCCCAGTGCTCGCGGGCACGGGGCCGCGGCGCGAAATCTCGATGTTCGGGGACGAACGCCCCACGCGGTGTCGGAAACCATCGTCCGACGACGACGACGACGACGACGCCTCGCGAGGCGTCGTCGTCGTCGTCGGCGTTCTGGCTCGATCGATCGCGATCGGCGTTCTGGCTCGATCGAGCATGTTGGGCTATTTCGAGGCCACTAGGAAGGTCAACCTTCCTCCGCGCGCCCAGTTGGCGCGCTTCCGCGGGGCGCGCGCGATGGCGCCCTTCGAGGTTGCCACGCCGCCCGCGACCCCGCGTGCGGGGAAGTCGGCGGAGCCGCCGACGCCCCCGACGACGGCGGCGGCGTCGGCGGTGGAGAGCGTGGCCAGCTCGGCTGCGCCCACGCCGCAGCCAGAGACGGCGCAGGAGACGGCCTCGCCGCCGCCAGAGACGGCGCAGGAGACGGCCACGGAGGCCATCTCTACTCGTCGTCGTCGTCGTCGTCGTCGTCGTCGTCGTCGTCGGCGTCGTCGGCGGCGTCCTCCCCCGTCGTTCCGGCACCGATGGCGACAACGATGACGACGACTACGACGACCACCCATGGGTGGTAGTCGTAGTCGTCGTCGTCGTCGCGCCGCCGCCGCCGCCGCCGCCGTCGTCGCCGTCGTCGCCGTCGTCGTCGTCGTCGTCGTCGTCGTCGTCGTCGCCAGGCTGCCGACGACGGCGCGACGCTGGTGCCCGCGAACGAGACGCTCGAGCAGGCGTTGACTGGTGTCGTGGACCGCCGCCGCCCCGCGCGGAGGGGGGGCTCAGGGGCGGGGGGCTCGCCGACCCCCCCCGTCGTCGACTATCTACTCATCGGATCGATCTTCGGAAACTCATCGAAACTCATCGGAAACTCATCGGAAACTCATCGAAACTCATCGGAAACCCATCGGAAACTCATCGGGAACTCTTCGGAAACTCTTCGGAAACTCATCGAAACTCATCGTGAACTAATCGGAAACTCATCGAAACCCATCGGGAACTCATCGTGAACTCTTCGGAAACTCATCGAAACCTCATCGGAAACTCGTCGGAGACTCATCGGATCCCAATCGGAAGATCCCGATGAGCTCCCGATGAGCTCCGATGGGGCCCTGGACGGGGCCCTGGGTGCATTCCTGGAGGGAGTTTCGGTGAGTTTTGAATCAGCAGCGCCCCGATCTATGTGTCCGTAGACGTTTTGGCTCCACAAGTTCAGTGGGCACCAGCTGCCAGATGCCATACCCGACGCTCGGCCCTATCCGACGATCGGCTCTACCGCATGGCTGATGATGGCGCCAGCGACGGGTCCGAGTCGACCCGCGCCGTGTGCACGGACGTGGAGTTGCTGACCAAGGTGTTGCGCCCTGTCATGACGAAACCAGATTTCGTGGTGTACAAGAGCGACCACTCCTCCTTCCCTGTGTCCAGCGACCAGGCGCCCTTAAGTGCCGACGCTGCGGTGCTCGTCGCGCAGTCGATCAGGCAGCAGGCAGCGCCGAACTTGAGCGTCGGCAAGGTCGCGTGCGAGAACGCGATCGAGTTCTTGGTCACCGAGAAGGCGAAGACAGGAAAGCCGCCCTGGAGTTTGTTCGAGGGCGATTCCAAGAAGCGCTACGTGAGGGACATGACGGCTAGGGCGCGCACGCTGTGCATGCACGCGGGGTCCTTCTACCGCCGCAAGCTCGGCCCCCCTCAGTGGTACAAGGCCGCCATCGCGGAGCAGGGCTACACCGACGGCATCAACCTGAACGAGGATCAGGACGAGGAGGAGGACGACGCGGACGAGGAGGACAGCGCGCCCGTCAGCGAAGGCCGTCAATGCGAGGAGGTTCAGCGGCAGGGGGCGAGGGCGAGCCCGAGGGCACGGGGGCCGCGAAGAAGAGGCCCGCCGCGGCCAAGCCTGCAGGTGACAGCGCAGGTTCCGAGGTGCAGTACGTCTACAAATTCGACGAGAACAAGAACTCGGCAGTGCGCATCCAACCGAGCACGCGGCGGGTGGAGCTTTGCGACAGCTCGCGGTCATCCGACCAGGGCGGATTCATGGTTGCCACGTGGGCCGATGGGAAGGAGTGGCGCTACCCAGAGGCGCTGCATCAGCAGAAGGAGAAGCCGAAGAGCGCCAAGAGTGGGCTTCCTTCTAAATACTTACCTGACGGCTCAAAGGTCTACGTCGAGCTGAAGAGAGATCGGGATCCGAACCACAAGCTCATCCTCATCATGCGCAAGCTCAAGGACGGCACCAAGGAGCAGCAGACGCAGGCGACCACCAGGCACTTCGACAACGAGGAGCATGGCGCCAAGGTGATGACCGAGCGGATCTTAGAGATGTTCGTCCGCGACCCGAAAACTACGAAGCAGCAGGCGATGGCGGCGAAGATGGACCTCCTCAAGGAGATCGAGAAGATTGTCGAAGCGATCTGCCAGAAGGAGGCCGAGAAGTTGGCCAAGCAGGAGGCCGATGCGGCGGCGGCGCCCAAGCGGGGCGCTGCAGCTCGCAAGAGGCCCGCCGCCGCTAAGCCCGCCAACGAGGAGGCGGCGGCCTCCGACGCCGAGGCGGCGTCGGGCAACGACATGGGCGAGAACGCCGAGGCGGCTTCGGACGGGGAGGTCTACGCGGCAGGAGAGGGGGAGGCAGACGCTGCTGCAGGAGGCGCGCCGTCCACTCCCGAGCAGAAGGGCAAGGGCAAGAAGCGCGCCGCACCGGGCAAGATCTCGACTTCGAAGGTCCCCATCCAGCGCATCGGCATCGAGAAGGGCATCACGGGCGCCAAGGCTTCCAAGTCCGCGCAGGGCACCTCCCCGCAGACTGCCATCAAGGGGCCGACGGGCACGCTCATGGGGGACGCGCGCAAGCAGCTGGCGGAGGATGACTCGTCGGACGGTGCCGAGTAGACTGACGGGCTCCGACTTCAGAGAGCCACGATCGGAAAACATGTAGCCCACTCCGCCCTGGCCTCTCGGACCCCCGCCCTCCGCGGCGATCCGACTCCCTCGGCTCAGCGATTGCGGGGGTCGCGAGGATAACTCAGCGCATGACGCGACGTGGCAGTGGAGATAACCGCGGCGAGTTGCCGAGGTCGCGAGGATAACGTTGCGCATGGCACGGCGTGGAAGCGGAGATAATCGCGATGAGTTTCCGATGAGTTCCCGATGAGTTTCGATGAGTTTTCCCCTCGGCTCCGATGCGTTTATCGATATGTATATATATGTGTGTGTCGGCGAGCCCCCCACCCCATCGCCTGATATGGGAAACTTCATTGTCGGCGTCGTCACGTCGTTGTTTATTGTTATTCTTGTTATCGCGTCAACACCTGACATCCTACCCCTCCCTCCCATCCCTTCCCACTGCGATGCTTAATTGTCCTCTCACCGAATCGGGTGTCGCATCTGACCCTCATGCATAGCAGGAAGAGGAGGAAGGATGCCTAGGGCGTTGCCCACGGCGGGTTCTCCTGGAGGCCTGGCACCTCGGGCTGCACTCGGCGGGCGGGTTCACCTGCGGGCCTCAGTCCTCGTGCGGGTTGCCCTCGGCGGGCGGGTTCTCCTGCGGGCCTGGCACCTCGTGCGAGTTGTTGGGGTCTGTCGCCTCAAGCGGGTCCTCTGGGGTGTGGGGCGACAAGAGCGGGTCCTCTGGCGTCGGTGGGATCATGGTGTAAGTGGGTGACGTCATCACGCCACTGGCCCAGCGCCTCAAAGGCCTCGCGGGGCTCTCGTCTTGCTCCTGGAGCGCCGAAGCCTGCGAGCGCGGGCTGCTCGTGTCGGGATCGAAGCTGCCGCCGCTCTTGCTCTTGCCCTTGCCCGTCAAGCTGTCGCCGCTCTTGCCCTTGCCCGTCGAGCTGTCGCCGCTCTTGCCCTTGCTCTTGTTCTTGCCCTTGTACGTGAGCAGATCTGCCGCCACCACGTCGGCTTCTGTGATGTCGTCGGTGTAGCGCTTGTCGTGCAGCCACGATGGGAGACGGCTCAAGAGGCTAATCTCGTCCTGTGACAAGATGCTGAGCTTGTCCTTGCCCTTCTGCTCGTCGCTGTTGCCCTTGCCCTTCTGCTTGCCCTGCTGCGTGTCGTCGTCGCCCTTCTGGCCGTCTGTCACGAACTGGCAGGGCTGTCCGAGCTTGATCGGGCAGCTTTCACTTGGCCTCCCAGAGACACCCTGGTAGACTCCGCAAATCAAGCATGCGAGTGCCGAGCTTGATGCCGACCGTGATGCCGACCGTGGGCAGTGGCCGTCGTTGGGGCCGTCGCCGTCGCCTTCGTTGGGCCCGTCGCCCGTCTGGCTCTTGGGCACTCTGCGGTATTTGAGCGCGCGCGGGCTCCAGGGCTCCATATCAGGCGCGTGTGGGGCCCAGGGATCTAGTAGCCGAAATAGATACGGACGGCAGGCTTCGCACCGAGGCGAGAGCGCCCCCTCGGAACGGCCGAAGACGGTCCGAGTGGCCTCCAGCGGTCGCTCGGGACGATGCGGGCGCCCTCAGACTTGCCTCCAGCGAGGCGCGGCAGTGGGGGGGGGGCACCGAGACATCCTCGATCCTCGATTCTGTGTTTCGGTTGTTGCCTTTCGGGGCCTCCTGGACCCCCTCGCGCCTACGGCTGGATCCGCCTCGCAATTCAAATCGAAGCGCCCTCCTGGGAAACAACTCGAGCCTCGATCCTCCATCATCGACTCTCGAGTTTGACGGCCGTTTCGGGCCTCGAGGGGCCTCCTCGTGCCTACGGCTGGGTCCGCCTCGAAATTGAAATCGACGCGCTCCTCGGGTAAAAAACACCTCGGGTCTCGATCCTCGATCCTCGACTCTCGAGTGTTTCTGTCGTGTTGGTAGTATTGATGGAGGGGAGGGAGCATCCCCCTCGCCGATACAGGACGGCCTGCACGTCGAGGACTTGCCCGACCGCCAGGACAGCTGGTCAGAGCGCTGGGCCACAGCACGGACGGTGCAGTCGAAAGCTGCCGTGGGAGGGGGTGAGGTGGCGAGGAAGGAGGCGAGGGTTAGGAGGTTGATGAAGGGGGAGGGAATGAGGAGTGAGGAGGAGATGTGGAGGGCTGAGACCGCCCCTTCCTCCCGCCCGATACTCGGGTGGGGGGTTCGGACATGGGTGCGTGGGAGGAGTCGTGGCGACGGTGGTTTTCGCCGTCGGCAGGACACCCCGCGTGCGGATGAGGGCGCTGATGCACCGCCTGAATCATCGTCGGCGGCAGCGGCATCGTCGGCAGGACCAGCGCTGGACGGCGTGGCGAGCATCGGCCTGCAGCAGGCGAACCTCGGGGCCATCGGCCTGGCCCAGGCCGACACCGCCGCGCTGGGCATCACGCAGATCGACGGGGCGGCGATCGGGCTGGAGCAGGCGAACCTCAAGGGCCTCGGCATCAGCCAGCTGGGCGACACCGCCGCGGGGCCGAGCGGGGCGTCGCTAGGCGTCTCGCTGCCTGAGAACCCGTCCGAGGGCTCAGGCGGGCTGCAGCTCGGCTTCCTGGCGAAGGGGCTCAACGAGTTGGCGAAGGGCTGCGAGACGCCGCCCGCGACCAGGGCGCAGGACAGCCCCGACGACGAGCAGCCCGATAAGGTGATCGAGGAGGCGTGGAGGACGAGGATCGCGAAGTCGAGGACGGCGATTGCCAGCAAGTACGACCGCTTCAAGAAGGGCAGCGCAGAGGAGCAGGCGAAGTACAAGAATGCGCAGGGCCACATCGGCAAGGATAACTGCATCCTCGAGCGGGTCGACAAGCAGTGGAACGCCTACCAAGAGCGCAGGTTGGGAGCGACGACGACGACGACAACGATGACGACGACTACGACGACCACCCATGGGTGGTCGTCGTAGTCGTCGTCGTCGTCGTCGCCGCCGCCGCCGCCGCCGCCGACAGGTCTAAGAGGAAGACCAACACGGAGGCCCACCTGGAGTGGGGGACCCACGAGCCGTTCGAGGTCATCGCAGGCAAGGAGTCGGGGGTCGGCATCACAGAGACGGGGGCGATGGCGGCACTGAACACAGTCTTGGCGTGCCAGAAGCTGGGGTACCCCTGGGTGCAGTGGAACAGCTTCACCAAGCGCGCCGAGTACCTCTACTGCAAGTCGGGCTTCAAGAACAAGTTCGAGACGGCGTGGACGCAGTGCCAGGAGCAGACGGGCGTGCAGGACGACCTGGCGCTCGACTTCCTGAAGGGGGGGGGGGGGGCACGACGCGCTGGGCGGTGGCCAGCCGAGCCAGGCTCAGACGGGCGCAGCCGCGCAGCAGGAGAGCGAGGCCAAGCAACAGGCGGCGGACGAGAAGAAAGCCGCCGCCGTTGCCAAGCAGAAGGAGGTGGAGGCGACGAAAGCAAATGAGGCGGAGGAGAAGCAAGCAAAGGCGGCGGAGGCGAAGGCTAAGGCAGCGGTCAAGGCCGCTGCACGGAGCACCAAGCGGACGAGGGGCGACCGCGGCGGCACGGCGACGCCGCCACCTGAGCCAGCTGGTGACGACGCTCCCCACCCGAAGCAGGCCAAGAAGGACGCGAAGAAGAAGTTCGACGACTTTCGCACGCTGATCAGCCTGTACGGACAGGAGCTCACGTCTGGCAAGATGATCTTGCGCAACATCGGCACGGTGGCATCGTGGGAGCCCTTGGCGGACGAGAGGATGAGCGGTGATCTCCGCAGGGCAGTCGAGGCGCTGGAGAACACGAGCACCACCAACGCGCTCGTGGCGCAGCTGGTGACGCAGAAGTTTGACGCAGTGAGGGCATGCGTCGGGGAGGCAGATTTCGACAAACAGATCGACCAGATCACGTCGATCCTCAAGCCCAAGGTGGATAAGCTGAACGCAGAGGTCGACGCCTTGAACCAGATGCACGCTCTGGTCGTGAAGAAGGCACAGGGCGGCAGGTAGTCGGAGGCAGACAGCACGACGGCCTCTTGACGAGGCCTCGAGGCCTCTTGACGTTCGGCTGCAGTGCCGACCAGGCCTCTTGACGAGGCCCGCCGACCAGTGCCGCGTAGTTAAGGAGGGGAGAGTTGGGAGGAGAGGAGGAGGAGGAGGAGGAGGAGGAGGAGGAGGAGGAGGAGGAGGAGGAGGAGGAGGAGGAGGAGGAGGAGGAGGAGGAGGAGGAGGAGGAGGAGGAGGAGGAGGAGGAGGAGGAGGAGGAGGAGGAGGAGGAGGAGGAGGAGGAGGAGGAGGAGGAGGAGGAGGAGGAGAGGAGGAGGAGGAGAAGGAGGAGGAGAGGGAGAAGGAGGAGGAGGGAGAGGGGGAGGGGGAGGGGGAGTCCCCATTGGGGGAAGGGGGAGGGGAAGTACGGGGGGGAGGGAAGGGAGGAGGTGGAGGTGAAGGGGACGGCAAACCAGAAGCTGGCGGCGGGCCCGCGATTCGGGGTACACTGAACAGCCTGCTGCGGTGAGACAGCAAGCGCTGTGTAGGGAAAAGCTCGATCGGATGCGAAAATCTCGGATCGGATGCGAAAATTGTGAACTCGAACCCGATCGGACCGAACAATTCGGGCCCGACCGCGATCGGAGGCGACGAAACCACCGATGAAATACCGGTGAGTTTCCGGTGAGTTTCCGATGAGTTTTGATGAGTTTCGCTCAAACATTATAAATTCACAGGGATTGTAGCGATGAGTTTCCGATGAGTTTCCGATGAGTTTTGATGAGTTTTAGATATTCAGAATTTTGTGTTGCGCCACTCCGATCGCGGTCGGGCACCCCCCGTTTCGGTTCGGAGACGCCTCGGGTGGTCAGTTTCGGTTTCGGGTGCGCTTCGGGTGGGTCTGGCACGGGCCCGAGGGGTCGCTGCGGCACCTCGGCGAGGCGCAGCTGTCCGTGGAGCGCCCGTTTCGGTTTCCAGGGCGTCTTGGGGGCGCTGGCACGGGCCCGACGGCTAGTAGTTGCAGCGCCAGGGGGCGGGGTGCAGGGGCCCGTAGGGTT